CTTCCCAAATGATGCCCCTGGCAGCGTTTTGTGACCATGAGGCTCTCAAGAGATACATGTTGGGGGCGCCAAACGGCAATTCTAGCTGAGACGTCCCACCAAAATCGGCGCGAACGGGCTCGTGAGATCAGCCAGGGTGGCTCCCCCTTGGGGCTCCCAAATGATGCCCCTGGCAGCGTTTTGCGACCATGCGGCTCTCAAGAGATACATGTTGGGGGCGCCAAACGGCAATTCTAGCTGAGACGTCCCACCAAAATCGGCTTGAACGGGCTCGTGAGATCAGCCAGGGTGGCTCCCCCTTGGGGCTCCCAAATGATGCCCCTGGCAGCGTTTTGTGACCATGAGGCTCTCAAGAGATACATGTTGGGGACGCCAAACGGCAATTCTAGCTGAGGCGTCCCACCAAAATCGGCGCGAACGGGCTCGTGAGATCAGCCAGGGTGGCTCCCCTTGGGGCTCCCAAATGATGCCCCTGGCAGCGTTTTGTGATCATGAGAGAGTGTGAGTGTGAGTGAATGTGACTGTGAGTGAGTCTGAGTGAGAGCGAGTCTCATCTTATCTTATCGAGTCCTATCTTATCTTACCTTTATTACCCTCTATCTTATCTTATCTTGAAGTATCCTATCTTGTCTTAGCTTATCTTATATCAACTCATACTATCGCATCATATGTTGTCTTATCTTATTACTCCATAGGCTGTCTCATCTTATCTATTATCCGACCTTGTCATATATCTTATCTTACCTTATCATATATTGTGCTATCCTATCTTATCTTGTAGTATCTTATCTTGTCTTGTCTTATCTGGTGATTATCATTGGGAGGAGGGAGGCGCGAGCGGGAGAAGGAGGAAGGAGGAGCAGTGGGAGGCGTCAGAGTAATAACAAGAACCCCAATCCTAAGGATATGGGGAATAACACTGCTCCTACTACTAGGACGACGACGACCCGCAAGCAGCAAGGGCGCGCGGCGCACACGTTTTGGAGGGCCGCTGCTGTAAGCAAGAGACCGCCAAGCCTCGCGTTTGGCAGCTCCCGGCTGCGGCCCGCTACGAGGCGCTTGGCTCGGCCCGTGCCTCCTGGGGCTCGCGGAGGTCGACGCTCGCTGCGTGAGGCACGCTGTGCATTTCGAGGACCTCTGCCGTGGCGGCTCTGGCCTCATCCGCCCTCAGAACGAGCACCTGGCTGTGATGGAGGCCCAGCCTCAGGTAGCCGCTGGTGACCACGTCGACCAATTCCATCGCGTGGGCCAAGTTATTCACCTTTGTGCCAGACACGGTCTCTAGCCGCAGGTTCTCGAGCGTCTCGTAGCCTACGGTAAGCGGGTGCGAAAGCACCTGCGTGAGCATCACGATCTGCTCGTCAGCTGTCTTTGCGTGGTCGACGCTTGACCACTGCACCATCTCCACGGGCGCCTTACCCCTCCCCTCATGCTGCTCCTCCTCCCAGTCCTCCTGGTCCTCGTGCTCCTCAAAATTTCCCTCCTCCCCACCTCTATCCTTACGGTGTCAAGATGTATAGTCTATGCAGCGTTACAGCTGAGAGTGCATAGCGGGTGTTGTGAGTGCATCGGTTGATCAATGCATCAGTTGATCATGAAAAGTGTTCAGATACACTCTGGCGTTGATCCTGACTCAAAAGGAAAACAAGTCAGAGTTAAACTCTGAATAAGGTTAAAGCGGCTGACCCTCGGACGAAAATCTCGCACAGGCAGACGAACATTTCCAGAGATCGCACTGGAGTTGGAGATCAGCGATGCAGAGCTATCAAACTATGAATGTTAGGGCTGACAGTTGAAAAGAGCCTGTGAAAACATGGAAAACCTTGGGACCTAGACGGCCAAGACGAACACGTCGATGAGTTTCAATGCAAGTCCCGCCAAAACTTTAGGACGTAGGTGGTCTAACGATATTATGCGTTCCTCTTCCCAAACCCCTCTTCCCTTCGGGGAGGTGTACCGCTCCCTCCCTGAGGTTTTGAGGTTTGTTTTCTGCTGGGGCACGATGTGTCAGGGGGTCCTGTTTCGCCCAAGATGGCCCCACGAGAACACCCGATGCTCCAAGATGGCCCCCGAGATGGCTCAAGATCGCCGAATATGGTTTGATATGGCTCCCGACATGTCTTCATGAGGCCCCAAGCCAAGAGGACCATCAGACGGCTCCAAGTGCTCTCGGAGCCCCCTCAGGACCTCCCCAAGAGGCCAACGTCCTTCAAACACCTACCGAACAACACATGTGTTTGCCTTCTCGCCTTTTCGCTTCCGATGCGTGTTTGAAGTCTCAAGATGAGGCCTCAGAGGCTCCCAACACCGCCCCAAGGCCGCACAAGAGCGCTCGCACCAAGAGGGCCCCAAGGCCGCACAAGAGCGCGAGGCCCAAGAGGGCCCCAAGAAGGCCACAATGAGGCCATGATTAGGGCTCTTGATACGGGAGGGAATTCGAAACACCCCCTCTTGTGATCGACGCCTTCCAGGATGGCTCCAAGAGGCCCTCTAAGGATCCCAAGAGGTCCCCAAGAGAGCTCCAAGAGATCCCCAAGACCCCCCAAAAAACCTCTAAGAGGACCAAGACCCTCCAAAATAGCCCCGAGGGGGCCGCCAGAGAGCCCCTAGGGGGTCCAAGAAGGCCTCCGAACGACCCCCTCCCCGTCTTCGTCCTCTTCCTCCTCGCCCTCCTCTTCCCCTCGTCCTCCTCCTCCTCCTCGTCCTCCTCCTCCTTTTCGTCCTTGTCTTCCTCCTCGTCGTCCTCCTCCTCATCATCATCCTCCTCGTCCTCCGCCTCGTCCTCCTTCTCGTTGTCGTCCTCGTCCTGGGTATGATCAGGCTTATCCAAACTTGAGGCACCCACGAACCCACTTGAGTCAAACTCTCTCTGACACGCATGCTGTACCAACGTCGTAAAACGAATCATCCAACATGCCCATGCTGTGAGGTAGTCTCAGGGAAAACGCCCCCCACACTATGGTGGATATCCGGCGTCAGATCTCCAACATCTCGGGTGCCTGAGGATGTCTCAGGCGAAAGCTCCGCTGTTGAGACACAGCATCGAACAAAAACTCCTCCAGCATCCACATGTTGCGAGGATGTCTCAGGCGAAAAGGCCAAACATCCCCCCCACACACCAGGTTGGACATCCGACGTCTGATCTCCAACATATCAAGTGTCTAAGGGTGCTTCAGGCGAAAATTGCACTGCTCAGAAACAACGTCGACCAACAACTACTCCAACATCCCCATCGTGTGAGGATGTCTCAGGTGAAACGCTCCCCCCACACCATGTTGGATATACAACGTTTGACCTCCAACATCTCAAGTGTCTCAGAATGTCTCCAGCGAAAGCTTCACTTTTGAAAAACAACATCGTACAACAATTTCTCTCACATCCCCATTGTGTAGGGATGTCTCAAGCGAAACGCTCCCCCCACATCAGGTTGGACATCCGACGTCTGATCTCCAACATATCAAGTGTCTAAGGATGTCTCAGGCGAAAGCTTTACTGCTAAGAAACAACGTCGAACAAGAACTCCTCCAACATCCCCATCGTGTGAGGATGTATCAGGCGAAACGCTCCCCCACACCATGTTGAATGTACGACGTCTGACCTCCAACATCTCGAGTGTCTCAAAATGTCTCAGGCGAAAACTTCACTTGTGAAAAATGTTCCCGGCAAAGCAACCTAACAGCGATGTGTATAAGCATATCTGGAAGCATTCCCCTTAAGATTCAGGTGAGAATTCAGTTGTAGAATTCTGCTGTTCTCGCAGTCGCAGTCGCATTCGCAATGACAGTCGCAGTGGCAACGGCCTTAGGATCCAATGGAATCCTAAGGATTCCTAGGGATTCCTAAGGCATCCTTAGGCATCCTTAGGAATCCATGGAAAAACCTTAGGAATCCTTAGGAATCCTGATTCCTAGGGATTCTCAGGGATTCCTTAGGATTCCTAGGGAATCCTAGGGACTCCGAAGGATTCGCCTGCCTCGGCCGCAGCCTCAGCCTGCCTCAGCCTCAGCCTGCCTCAGCCTCAGCCTCAGCCTGTCTCAGCCTCAGCCTGCCTCAGCATCAGCCTCAGCCTCAGCCTCAGCCTGCCTCGGCTTGCCTCGGCCTCAGCCTCAGCCTCAGCCTCAGGCCTCAGCCTCAGCCTCAGCCTCAGCCTGCATCAGCTCAGCCTCAGCCTGCCTAGCCTCGGCCTCAGCCACAGCCTCAGCCTCAGCCTCGCTCAGCCTGCCTCAGTATCAGCCTGCCTCAGCCTCAGCCTAGCCTGCCTCAGCCTCAGCCTCAGCCTGCTTCAGCCTCAGCCTCAGTCTGCCTTCAGCCTCGGCCTCAGCCTCAGCCTGCCTCAGCCTCAGCCTGCATCAGCCTCAGCCTCAGCCTCAGCCTGCCTCAGCATCATGCCTCAGCCTCAGCCTCAGCCTGCCTCAGCCTGCCTCAGCCTCAGCCTCAGCCTCAGTCTGCCTCAGCCTCAGCCTCAGCCTGCCTCAGCCTCAGCCTGCATCAGCATCAGCCTCAGCCTGCCTCAGCCTCAGCCACAGCCTCAGCCTCAGCCTCAGCCTGCCTCAGCTTCAGCCTCAGCCTCAGCCTGCCTCGGCTTGCCTCAGCCTCAGCCTCAGCCTGTCTCGGCCTCAGCCTCAGCCTGCCTCGGCCTCAGCCTCAGCCTCTCAGCCTCAGCCTGCATCACCCTCAGCCTCAGCCTCAGCCTGCCTCAGCCTCAGCCTCAGCCTGCCTCAGCCTCAGCCTGCCTCAGCCTCAGCCTCAGCCTGCTCGGCCTCAGCCTGCATCAGCCTCAGCCTCAGCCTGCCTCAGCCTCAGGCTGCCTCAGCCTCAGCCTCAGCCTGCCTCGGCGTGCCTCAGCCTCAGCCTCAGCCTGCCTCGGCCTCAGCCTGCCTCGGCCTTTCAAAATATGGCACAGGACTGGTGTTCTGGGAACACGAAGATCACAAGGTGGCCCACAGGTGGCTCCGGGCATTCAACATATTGTATAAGAATTGTGTTCTGGGAACACGAAGAACACGAAGTGGCCTACAGTTGGCTCCGGGCATTCAAAATGTGTCCTGGGAGTGGTGTTCTGTGAAGACGAAGAACACGAAGTGGCCTACAGTTGGCTCCGGGCATTCAAAATGTGACCTGGGAATGGTGTTCTGGGAAGACGAAGAACACGAAATGGCCTACAGCTGGCTCGGGGCATTCAAAATGTGGCCTGGGAATGGTGTTTTGGGAACACGAAAAACACGAAGTGGCCTAGAGCTGGCTCTGGGCATTCAAAATGTGGCATGGGAGCGGTGTTCCGGGAATGGATTCCTAAGGACTCCCACGAATTCCTAAGGATTCCTAAAGATTCCTGGGGCTGACCTTTTTGTCCGGTTTTGTCCGGATCCCGCCCAGACCCCCCTGGGGCGTCAAGATGCTCTCTTTTGAGTCCACTAGAAACCTATCAGCAAAAGCTGTTAGGTAACAACGTCGTACAACAATTTCTCTCACATCCCCATTGTGTGGGGATGTCTCAAGCAAAACGCTCCCCACACACCGTGGGTGATATCCGACGCAACCGCGGGCACGTGAAAACACGTGTCCCGCGCGCACCCCCTCCGCGCACGCATCTTATCATGTGGAAAGAATCCAACGCGAGTGAATCCGATGTCCGACGCCCCAACGGACACGTGAAAACACGTGCCCCGCGCGCACGCCACCCTCCGCGCACTTATTTCTACATCTGAAGAGTGCGACGCGAGTAACGTGGATACCCCTTCTGGGGGCCCCGCTGCCGCCAAGAACACGCGAATCTATTGCATGTTGGTGACACCCCTTCCGCACACGTATTTTCACGTACCCAATTCCGACGCCACCTGTTCGACACCTTTCCCGTAAAACGCCGAAGGCCCGCACACAAAAAAGGACCCTGGGCCTGAGCCCTTACCGGGGACACTGTTCCACTGCATGTTTCCTCGCACGGTCTCGTGCCCCCCCCCACCCCGTTTCCGTTTGCAGGCCGCCCTGCGGCGGTGCGCTGCCCGTCCCGGCGGCGCGTTGCCTCCACATTCTGCTCTAGCCCACCTTCTTGCACCGATCAAATGTTAATTCCTGAATTCCTGGCCCACCCTGCCCACACAGGCTGGGGGCCACTGGTTTCGGCCGCAGTTTGGGCTGGCCAATGTGCGCCCCGCGCTGTCTACCCAAACGGCGAGTGGCCGCCCAGGCCCTTCCGCGGCCCACTATGTCCACCCGGGCACGGGGGTTGGTTTTTCCATGTCCACTCTCACTGCGCCAATTAGGTGCCGCCCCCTGGCCCACCCTGTCTATCCCGACAGCGGGGGCCGCTGGCCCTGCAACAAATTTGGTTACCACGGGGCGCCGCTCTCGACCCCCGGCAGCTACAGGCCACCTTGGCCCGCCGATTGGCCCACCCTGTCCACCTGGGCAGTG